ACATGCATATTAGAAACTCGAAAAGTAAAAAATAAATAAATAGAAGATTGCTTGAATCTCATCTATAGTATAAATTAATTATTTACCTGAAAGAGTATTTTGATAATTCGTTGGCGCTGGTTGAGAATAAGGTATTTGTTCAGTTGTAACTTGATTTGATAGATCATAACCATTTGAACTCTAAAAATTGTAAGAATATAATATTAAATAAGAATTGAATATAAATTTACATTTGTATTTGTTACAGGTGGATAAGTTACAGATGCTAAAGGTACAGTAGTTTTTATTGGTTCAGTTTTTCGCCTGATATTTGATATTTTTTTATCTGTATCTATTCCAAAAACAAAAGAAATTCTTCGATTTTTTTTTGTTAAATTAAACTTACAAGTCGCAAGATTTGTTTGTTGTTGTTGTTGTTGTTGTTGTTGTTGTTGTAATGTATTCTCTTCTCGATTTATTGGTTGTATAGATGATGAATTAAATGAATCATCACGTACTGTTTTATTTAAAAATGCATTTTCCTTGAAATAATTAAAAATAATAATTATTATTATTTTTCTTCTTCTTAAAGCCAAAACTTACAATTAAATTTTGAATAATACTTTTTAATTCAATCAACCATGTTGGTTCTTTATATGATGTCGGATCAAGTTGAAAATTTCGACTAAATGCTCGAGATTTTTCTGCAATCTTTAATAAATGAAAAACTAAATATTGAATATTTCTATTAGATTTAAATCATAACATACAAGTATAAATAGTTGTAAATCAACTAATTGAACATATGAAGTATTTCCTTGTCGAATAAGTGTTTGTCCAATTTCTTCACAATAAGCTAATGCTTCTCTTTTCAAACCATGTAGAACTAATTTTGATGTATAATAAATTTTTAATGGCTAAAAAATAAAAGATATGTAATTTACTTTTTGTTACAATCATGATAAAATTCTTACAATAAATGTTGTTAAACATTTTCTTAATGAATATTCATAAACTTCAGTTAATTGTAAATTTGTAATTGTTGCAAATGATAGATTAGATTGACTAGAAAACAGACAACAAAAAAAACCAACAATTATTTATTTATCTTTGACTCAAAATCATATTTTTTGTTTTTACCCAGCATGAATACTTCCAATAACAGCTAATTTATCGGCATTATTTCGATATGAACCAAATGGAACATTAGCAATTAAATAACAAAAATGACCAGCATATATACGACCAGATGTTACTTGAAAAAAAAAATTAAAAATAAAATAAATTTAAATAAAAATAAATAGATAATAAAATAATTTACTGAATGTATCGCCCATTGTTTTAATACAAAGATCAACAAATTCTGCATTTGTATCCGTACGATTAGCTAACATAACTGCTAAATGACGTTTCCAATCACCATAATGTGCTTTGGTAACATTCTATTATTTATATTTATTATTAAAGAAAGAAAAGAATAATTTAAATAATAAAACTTACTGAAACGACAGAGGGTGTTGAACCAGCTCCTAATTCATAAAATGTTTTCAATACATCACCATTATCAAGATTTGCTATAATACTTTAAAGAAAACAAAAAAAAAATTTTAAGTTTTTTTTTTATCTAACAGGTGGCGCAGAATAAATTAGACTGTTTGTATTTCAAATATTTCCATTTGATCGAGAAATCTTTTCTATCAAAATATGGTGCAGAGACTATCATCAGGATACGACTGCCCTGATGCCCTGGTAAATTATGAACTAACTCTCCAGTTATAGATGTTTTCTTAATCAAAACTTTTAATCTGTCGTACAGTTGTATGAGACATTGTTGTAAGCTGCCCGCGTTTACATTTTATTCAATAAGTCTCTTAGTGACAATTTTTCCGTTTCACAATCAGTTATCATTTGTTTTCTGTAAATAGAATAGAATAGAATAGAATAGAGACCAGAGACCCTCACTAATACAGGATGCTTTAATGTCTTGACGCCTTGGCTTCTCAGGGCAGGGCGAAATAGTGTTCTCTGATAACATTTTTTTTTTATAAAAAGTCTTTTGAAATCGTTTACTAAATCCAAACATGATCTTTCACAACATTCGTTATCTATGTAATTCTACCAGCTAGTGTTGATTTCACTAGAGCTTATATACATGATATTTATCCTAATTCGTTATCGTTCAATACAATCTATTTCGATTTCGAAGAGATTGAACACTTCTTATTAAATCATAAGGAAGTCAAGCAAATAATAAAAAAAATGAATCTCGACCTCGTTCTAAATAGTGATAGAAGACTTTGAATCAATTAAATGATGACACTCAGTCACAAGAAATCACTGTTTTCATTGATGGAGACCTTGTTTTTGTATGAATATACTGCTAGTGTCAAATATCCATGCTAAAAAAAGACCAGATATTGGGTTAATAAGTATTACTTCTTCATTAAGAATAAATTGACATGACCCAATCTTTATTCAATTATAATCTGATTTTTAGTCGTCAAGGTTGATCGTTGTTATTGTCAAACGTTTTCTTTTGAATTTTTTCTAATCAATGAAAAAGATTTGTCAATTTCACTTAAAAATATAACAAACTATAAGTTTCGAATCAGATTATAATTAATTAAAAATTGCAACAGTTTCAATCATTTTTTTAACGGGATTCATAATTGTTTTTATACATGGATAATTTTCTTTTGGAATTATAGAAACAAATTATGAAGCACTGAATACAAATAAGAACACAGTTTTTCATAAGGTTAGCAACTCATTCTATAGACGACTTTAGTTTATATGCTATAAGGGCATCCAGTCTTATCCTATCGTGCTTTAAGGACAGGGTAGGTCGGAAAAACCTTGAGTGAGTTATTTTCGGGGCAAAACAGGGCAACAAGGCAGAGTAGGGCGAAAAAGGTGTCCTATGACAGTCTCCAATATGGTGCTTAAAATTTTCTACAAAACCATGCATAGTTGAAATCAAAAATTGTTCTAGATATATTTCAAAAAACAATGAAAAATAAAGACGTATAAACAGCTAAAAAAAAGTAAATATGAAAATAGTGATCGATCGACAAAAACTTATCGCGATTTAGCCGAAGTGGTTTCATTAAAAATAGTTAAATTATGAAATAAAAATGATCAATAACACTGACTCTATCAATTTTTCACATCGTTTCGATCATCCACGCATAGTTCGAACAAAAGTGAATATCTCAAAGGTGTATTGGCGCCCACTTCCCAAGGAAACTACATGTTGAAACAAAGTGTGCATCACTGCTATCGCAAAAAGATCTTGGCAATTTCCCATAACAGAAGGTTAAAGAGTTTATTATGATTGATATGCACTAAAAGAATGGGTTAATTTTGCAAACCAATAGTTAGTAGAATCTTTTCAATGTTTGCACGTATTATCTCAGTGAAAAATGATGTACAGACTATTTTTATGCATTCATACTGAAGAATCATTAGTTACTAAATTTGCTTGATTTAAATCTGTTGGATTATAGTTTATAGAATGAACTGGCTGAAACTATGAATTGGAACTGCATAACAATGAAAGCAAACGTTAATAGACGAAATAAAACGTTTTGTCAACAAAAAAGAAGTTAAAGTTCTATAGTGGACTTTAATGTACGAGAGACGTTCAATAAAAAGAAAGAAAGTTTTGCAATGAAATGAGGAATAGAAGAAGAGATATTAGAAATTCAAATAGACTAATTTATTCTGCAGTATTCATTATTTACTTGTGTATTGTTTTTTCAAATAATTGTTTATCCGTTAAATATGAAATAATAAGTGCATGAGTATAGAATTGATTTTCACAAGCAAATTTAATACTTGTATCAATTTCACCAAGTGCAAGAAATTCTCTTAATGAATTTTCTAATGTTGTTGATGATAATGATGTATTATTACTATTTGATGATAGTTCTTCAATAATAGGTGTATTACTTGATGACCAGAGAATTTTTGGAATGTCAACACGAACATCAATAACCTAATAAGAAAAAAAAAGAAAAGAAAAATGAATTTTTTTTTCTTTTGTTTATTGAAGATAAATGTTAAGTTTAATATATATTACGCCATTATTTTTAATAAGTAATGCCATATATTGCCAAATTATTGATAAAGCATCACGATCAATAATATGAATTGATTTATTAGCTAATTGTGATTGACGTTCACAATATCGAATAACATTTGATTTAGCTGTTGATCTAAAAAATTCAAAAGAAATTTTCTTTTTCTTTTTTTTTTATTTTAATGAAAGAGATATGTCTTACGCAGTTAAAGGACCAATAAAATCAGACATTAATTGTCGTTCTTCGACTAATGATGGTGCCATTGAATGTAAACTCTAAATAAATAGAATTGTGGGCTCTTTTTTTTTATTCATTTATTCAATAATAAGTAAATATTTACATTTGCAGAAATAATTTCTACCGTTGCTGGTTGATTTGTATCACTGGGTGATTGTGGTAAAACTTGAATAAGTTGATCAAAAACAAATTTAGCTCGTAAATGTGGTCGAATATATAAAAGTGGTGTTCGTCGCGCTTTTGAAAATTCTTCATCAACTTGTGCTAGATCGGATTTTATACTAAAACGATCACTACTTGTATCATCAGAATCTTCATTTTCATCCTCATCTTCTTCATCTTCGTCTTCATCATCCTCTTCTTCTTCATTTTCATCATTTTCTCGTGCGGATATTGTTTTTGTTTTGGATTCAACTGATGTTATTTGTTGATTTGAAATAGGTGCAGTAGTTAAAAGTGCATTTGGATCTGTAGTTGTCTTTGTTTGTCGTTTAGATTGATTTGAAACTGGTGGTTTATTAGGTGGATAATATCCATTAATATAAGCATTCTGAGTTTGACTAAAAATAAAGAAAGACAAATATATATATATATTTGAAAGATAAAATTTTAGCAAAACAATTTACTAATATGGATCATTAAGCGAATCAACTGAACCCCATGTATGCATTGATGAACTATGCTGTGATTGTTTCGATTGTGAATGTGCAGCTGAATGATGACTGTATTTATCATCATCTGTTTGTGACATTTGTTTCCAATATTTCATCATTTCATCTGAATATCCAAAATTATATGGATTTTGATAACTAGCATACAACGATTGCCAATATGGATCAAACCATGGATTATACATTCCAGGTGGCATATATCCAGGATATCCTTGCATTGGTAACATTCCTTGTCCAGATATTGCTGGTGTTTGACCACCTGTTTGTCCATTTACTAATGATCTTGATGATGATACTGGAGCTGTAGCATTTTGTCGAGATGGTGGACGAGATGATTGACGTGATCCTGGTCGATCTGAACCAGCTTGTGATGGCATCATCATCATCGGTGCTGGATATGGCATCATATAAGGTGAAGGATACCCACCACCAGCAGCCCATGGCTGATGCATTTGCATCATAGCTGCCATTTGTTGCTGTTGTTGAGCATTAAAATTTGCTGTTGATACATCACCATCTGATGAATTGTAAACTGTTGGAGGATATTGAACATTTGATGGTTGTTCTGGTGTTATGAATGTTTGTTGTTGAGGTTGTTGTTGTTGATTTAGTGTAGAAACTGGAGGTAATGAAGGAGGAATGTAATTAACCTTTGGAGAAGGTCGAATTTGAGAATGATCAGTAGTCGATTGATCCATCATCTACAAAGTTTAAAGAAGGTAGATGTAGTAAAAAAAAATAGAAGTGAACTTTTTTCTTGTGTATATTGATAAATAAGTGTTTTATCGTAGCAGTGGCGGAATGAATCGATTATAGCGTGGCATTTTGTTTTATTAATATGATTGGTTAATTGTAGCCATAGGAATCACATTTAATCTTTTATTTTATACAATTTTCTTTTAATTATAAACGAAAAAAATTCCTTTTCAAAGAAAAATATTAATTTCATTGAAATGAAACATCGAAATTTTATTATTATTTTTTTTTTTTGTAATAAAATATAAATTCTACACAATCTGTGGTGTCATCTATCGTTTGAATGCACATGAAAAATAAAATGTATTCATAAAATAGAGAGAAAAATAAAATAAAACAGAATTTTATTTATGATTAAGTTTTCTTTATTTCAAAAAACTTCACTTGTTTGACTAAAATTATTTGGATTTACAGAATGTATTGTTCCATCCTTTTGATTTCGATATTTTCCAAGCATTGTTTCTAATCTTCGTAATAAAATTGGAATATTTCTTGAAAATAATTCATTTGTTGTTAAATCAATACATGATGAACGAATATTTTTGCGTAAAAAATTTAATGTTGTCATTGGTAATTTTGATGGTATAAACGTATTTATTTGTTCATCAAGACTCATATTTGTATTTAAAATATTATTTGAATGAAAATATTTCATATGTCGTAATAGGACAACAAGAATTGGTTTTTGATATATTTCACATAATCGTAATTCATTTAAACAATGTTCATTAAGAAAATATTTTGGTGTTAAACAAACAATCATAACACGACAATGACGAATATCACCTGGACCCATTATACGACGAGTATCAATCGATGTTACTGTTGTTATTGATGGATTAAAACCATGAAGATATGAATCATTAGGATTGATAGATGAAGATTT